TTCCTGAGCATTGCAAGTTAAAGCAGCTTCAAGGACAGAGTGCCTTGGAGAGCATCCACCTCCAAAATGGTCTGAACATTGCTTTCCAAATAGCTGTGAGTGCCCTCCTCCTGGGCAACATGGCTTCTTAGATGCCAGCCGGGCTAAAACCCAGAAAGGCAGATGGATTCAGAAGTTCAGCCAGAAGCTGAAGGTTCCTATACTCTAGGAACCTTGTAGGGAGGAGGTTCAGGGTTGACTGATTCCCCGTACTGGCCATCAAGGTCTTCACTTCACACTCTGGATGAGCTATGATGGCTTTGTGTCACCTGTCTTGAAGAAGGAACATAGACTCGGCCTAATGTGGGCTGACACCTGAGCTGTTTTAGGGAGCTCTTCTTCCTGGGGATCTGGCTGTATGCCAACCATCATCCCTTCTGTTGCGCTACTTGTGAGTATCTCTTGAATTCTCCCTCATCCCAGACAGAGTTCTAAGGTGTGAAGACCTGACTATAAAATCGGGGTTTTTAGGTGATTTTATTCTAATGAGAGAAATCCTTAAAAACACAGAAAAGGGCCAGGAGGGCAGATGGTGATGGTTCCAGGGTGAAAAGGACTTACTCCTCTTCCAGAGGACCCAGTTTTAATTATCAGCACCCACATGAAGATTCACAACCATCATAACTCCAGTTCCAGGGTATCACCCAACCCTCTTCTGGCTTCCTGGGGCATGCATGTGATGCATAGATATATGTGCAGGTAAAACACTCATATAATAAAATTATAGATAGGTAGATAAGTAGATAGATAGATAGATAGATAGATAGATAGATAGATTATATACTATCAGAATTGAAAGTATAAATAGATATAGATATATACACATTACACACACATACACATAACATCAGAATTGAAAGTATATGCCAGAACATGAGTCTGGCCTTTGGGATGAAAGACTCTCAGGGACTATGTGGCACTAGCATGTAGGCTTCAAAACTCAGCTCTACCTGTCTGAATCTTATCCCTTAGCCTCTAGTCACTCTCATTCAAGAAAACTTGAACTATTTTTTCTCCTTGTTGATTAGTGGGAGAGCTGAAATGAGAAGCTGGAGAGTTGAGAAACACTAACCTGGTAGACGGTAGCTCTGGGATGTCCTAAAAAAATGCACCAAACCCAACTGAGAGACCAGAAACTTCCTTGGAAAATAAGGCTCGTGAGACAAGTTTTGAGGCAGAAGGAGAGATTCCCCCAGGAGAACAGTGGGAAGGGATGGGGACCCAGGGAGTAAAGACTGGGGAACACTAAAGGCCTGAGCAAGGAGTTGTGGGTCCACCAGGAGAGAAGCCAGAGGCTGAGATGAGAGAGGACAGTGTGGTCGGTTCTTGCAGTCTTGTAATTTATCAAGCATTTCGGGAACCAACAAAAAGGCTTCCCATAAGACTGTGGTACATTTGGGTTTGGGTTTTGAAAATATATGGGGGAAGACAGGACCAAACCTCGTGGGTTGGCAGTACTACTGGAAACGCACCCGAGAAGAGTATGAAGGCTGGGTCCCGTGCAGAAAGGCCATTTAAAAGGAAACACTGAGAGAGAGAGAGAGAGAGAGAGAGAGAGAGAGAGAGAGAGAGAGAGAGAGAGAGAGAGAAAGCGCCAAGCTGGGACCTCCTCAAGGGCAAGTAACAGAGGAGAACCTGGGCACCCTGCCTCGTGCCCAGATGGGCCATGTGGTATAGATAGGACCATGGAAGGGCAGCTGCTGTCACCAATGGAAAGAAAGCAGGCTAATTAAATGCCTATTTGTTTGAGGCATCTACCGAGGGATTTCTAGGAGTGTTGATTTTCTTAACCCTGTTAGTAAAATCATGCACACAGACTTTGTTTTTTTTTTTAATTATGAAATTAAAAGTCGCTGGGCGGTGGTGGCACACGCTTTTAATCCCAGCACTTGGGAGGCAGAGACAGGCGGATGTGTGAGTTTGAGAGTTCGAGGCTAGCCTGGTCTACAGAGTGAGTTCCAGGACAGCCAGGGCTACACAGAGAAACCCTGTCTTGAAAAATAACAAACAAACAAACAAAAAAAAAAGAAATTAAAAGTCCATACAGAAAACAGAGAAACACTGGAAGGCACCATTGTGTGTCACCCAGCAACCGCAGTGGTTAGCTAGTTCCCTGTGGGATTTCTCCTCTCAGTAGATTGTGTGGAGGGAATTCCAGACACCCCATCCTGTAACACTGACAAGATCCCTAAAGGAAGATTCATGGGAATGTAACCCAGTTAAGAATACTAGCAGGGATCTTGATATTACCATGTATCTTAGCAGTGCCCACGATTCCTAGAAATGTGGTATCCATTTTCATATATATAGAGAGAGAGAGAGAGAACAAAAAGTAAGCAAAGAGTGAGAGAAAGGGAGATAGAGAGTAGAGAGACCAAGAGATACAGAGAAAGAGGGAGAGAGAGAAAGAGAATCGAGAAGTGTTTTTTTAAACAATTGGTCTAAATTAGGATCCTCAAAGATCCACTTCTTGCCTCCCGCTACCATTTGAAGAATGTGGCCATAGTGTAAGCTCGCCATCTTCTTGGTTTGCATCTACATCACATACTGAGTGTCCAGTTGTCTTCTTCTGCCTACTTGGTTGCTAATATAAAATGTCGCCCCCATAAGCTAGCCTGAAACATGGTTATCCTAAATCCACCTACCCCATCCCCAGTGATACATGTTATGTTGTGATACAAGGAGGAAGGAACTGGAGAAGCTCTCTCCACCATCAATGCAGCACGCGGGTCTGCACCCAAGTTCACTTTCCTCTCGGCCAGTGTTTGTTTTCATCTAGACTAAAGTTTCACCTAAAACTTCCCATAAGTCCCTGGGCCTCCGGTGGTTTTCAAGTGTATTTCCCCAAATGTCATAGAAAGAAAATAGCTAAATCTAGGCGGCTGGTGCTTGTTCTCATGTGTGGAGGGTCTGGGTTTTCCCAATAGCGTACCCTCCTAACAGAGTGGCCAGCAGAAAACCTAGAAATAAATAATATTACCTACCATTTAATTAAGTCCGGGTCGCTACTCAAAGGAATGATTCTATCCAGAGCATAATTATTGATGCAGTGTACAGCATAAATTATAATCTGCTCAATATATCCCCAATTCATTTAGATCAAGGAAAGCTCTGACAGGTAACAAAATATTACGCAATCAGAAAATGTAGGCTTCTGGATTTTATTTCACTAAACCATCCCCTGATGCTTTTTCCTGGAGCCCTGAGTAGTTCATGATGACCAGCCTATTCACCACAATGTAAGCAGCAGCCTAGAAGAAACCTGGGGACCATCTCTCAGATGTGATGTGGAGAATCCCAAGCTGTACTGGCCCAGCCTGAGTCAGATTTCGATTACTCTTATAACTGTTGCTCTTTTATAACTGTTGGTATAGTTTTATACCAAACTGTTGTTTGGTAGGTGGTCTTTGATTCCCAGTGTGCTGAGCTCCATAGGTAGTGGCTACATTCCAGAACTCCCAGGCTGTGGTCAAGAATAAAGTAAATGCTGACAAGAGAGAAGACGTTCCTGCCCACATTACTCTCCTGACCTTGCCTTTTATGGTCACCCTAACTCCTCACTGCACACACAGATAATTGAATTGTTAACTCAAGCTTCTCCTTCTGTCCTTAGTTTAGCATTTCATATCGTAAACGAGCAGCTGCTTACTGCAAAAAAAATGTGGCTCCGTTAATACCTTACTCCACACAGACTGACTATAAAAACTGACTGTTTTGTTCAAGTAGTTACTGGACCATTTCATTGTATCCTGAGGTACAGAAATGAAACAGCTCCTTAACCGTTCACAGCTCTCGGGCCAAGTGGTAAAACAAATGTCAGGAACTTTAAACACAAGCAAATCAACTACTTTGAATCCTGAAGCTTCGCAACCCTAATGAAGTCATGACACCCACCATGTTGACAAACGTTTGGAGAACAGAAATGTCTTCCTTCTTACCAATATTAAATGGCACACAGAACACATGGCCATATGACAGCCTGGTAGAGGTTCCTGAAACATGAATAGATTACATTAGCTTTTTCTCTCTATAGCAGAGAGACCATAATTCAAACTTCTGCTACAGTACCCCTGAATTGTTCAATGGTACTAAGACACTGTCTGTGGAATGATACAAAAGATATTCTAAGATTTCTGGTACTTTCTTCAAGATGATCTCTCTGAGTTCCAATTAACCTATCGTTATGATTCAATCCAAACCTGAGCAAATTCAGCTTTCTTATATTGAAAACTAGGATGTTTGTTAAAAAAAAAAAGAAGTAGAAAGAGAGAGAGAGAGAGAGGGAGAGAGAAGGAAGGAAGGAAAGAGAGAGAGAGAGAGAGAGAGAGAGAGAGAAAGAAAGAAAGAAAGAAAGGAAGGAAGGAAGGAAGGAAGGAAGGAAGGAAGAAAGGGGAAAGGAAAGGAAAAGAAAGGAAAGGAAAGGAGAAAGGAAAAAGGAAAAAGGAAAGAAAAAAGGAAAGGAAAATAAAAGAAGAGAAGAGAAGAGAAGAGAAGAGAAGAGAAGAGAAGAGAAGAGAAGAGAAGAGAAGAGAAGAGAAGAGAAGAGAAGAGAGAAAACCTGGGAACAGAAAATTTTCTGAGATACTGAGTGGTGTTCTCATTCGGTGTTATCTGCTAAATTCTATGTTTACTACATGGGCATTGATCACATACTTGGCAAAAACGCGGGCCAAGCACTGTCCAAGGCAGAGGCAGAACGTGAGGATTCTGTGGCCATCATTAGACAGGCCACCCACTGGCTAAGCATAAGTGTTCCCCATGGGCACTCAGGACAACTTCATCCCAAGTTAGAACGTAAAACCCTATCAAGGAAGCACTACTCCCCAACATCATCATTTTCTGAGCCATAACGTTTCAGGGGTGAAGTTGTGACTTTCCTGCTTTGTGGGTAAAGATGTGCATTATGGTTTTTTTTCCCTTTTCCAATGAAACCAATTACGATTCCTTGGCATTTATTGCAGATGAGCAAGAGAGTTCCGGAGCGATTATTTACACGGTGGAGCTGAAGCGCTACGGGGGGCCTCTTGGCATCACAATTTCTGGAACTGAAGAGCCCTTTGATCCAATTATCATCTCCAGCCTCACTAAAGGGGGATTAGCTGAAAGGTAAAAATGGAAGGGGCCGCTATAATTAATTACCTGTGTCTGCGGGGTTTGTTCCCGCACAACCGTGTGAACCACACTTCCTTCTCCTGGCTGTTTATCTGTTGACTTTTAAATCTGCACAGAGGATTGATTTTTTAGAGCTTGGGAACTCTCAGGCAGAGCTCAGACTTGACACTGAAGGGTGTCTTGTAGGCAGGAAAAGATGCCACGGCTTAGCATGGATATTACTCTCGGAAGAATAAAATGTGTTAAGAGAGCACAGTCCGGCTACAGGTAGATTTATACGGTGTCCATTTTGAGAAGAGGACCCGGCCGTTGAGGGAGGTTAAAAGGCTTGTCCAAATCAATTCTGCAAACATTTGCTGAGCTTTCTGTTGCCTGACAGGTATTGTAGTAAGCCTCTATGTATTTGGGAGAGGATAATAAAGGCTTGGTCCTCAGAGGCTGTGGCTAACAGGGTGTAGTGACCCTCTCAATAGTATCTCCTTGTGCGTGTCCATTTGTTCTTTGGCAGTGATGCACACGCCAGGTCTGCTCCCCGCCCTCTGCTGAACTGCACTTTTTTTCTGAGACATGTTGCTTAGGCACACAACAGACTCTCTAACTAGATCTATTTTCCAGTGACTTAGCTCGAGAAGGCTCAGGCATGTCATTGAGGCTGACACTTGATGACAGTAGTTGCAATAGAGATGTAGCACTGCAGAATTTTCAGAACTGCAAGATACCTTGCTTAGACATTGGCTCGCTTGACAGCTCTGTCTGTCAGATGAGCGGCCTGAGGCCGATCAGCCAGGGCTACTCTACTAGGATTTAATATTCTGATTTTAGCAAAGACGCCTGGGAGATGGTCTCTTCGGGCATCCTCCTGTTCTAGTTATCACTGTGAGACAACAAAGGATTCTGCAAAGTGGTTCATTACAGCTGGGTCTTACAAGCTGCATCATTCTTGAACTAATACTCTTTATGACAGGAGAGATCTTTTTCAGAGAAAAGTTCTGTAATTCTAAATGCAGTGGTAGACAGGTTAAGCAGTCTCTCCTTATCAGTATACACTGTATTACCTCTGCCAGGCAGCTACTTATGTCTAACACGGCTGCCATAGCCCTAGACCAAGCTCAGGCCCTAACGACCCCATAAACAGGGTTAATTCCTTCAGTATCTGAATTTAAAGTGATTCAGTTCGGCCAAGGCCTGACCTTTGTGCTTCAGCTCAGCGTCTTTGTCTCAAGGTGAAGATCTCAACCATGGTACTGTCAATCATCTATGGCATCCCCCTGTCCCTTCCAATGCTCCCCAACAATGGCAGATAAAATAAACATGAGACTTGAACATCCCAGTGTGCTCATTCAAATTGAATGAAGATACAACGGATGTAAAGGTTAGAGATGCTGTATCAGTGTATTAATCAGTGAATTCATGCCTTGTTTAGGGCTAAGGAGATCCATCCACTGGTAAAGAGCCTCTTGCACAAACATAAGGACCTGAGTGCATCCCAGGCACCACATAAAAGTCAGGTACACAAGTGAGCAGCTGTCACCTCAGCACTGGACATAAGGACAAAAGGACCAGGAGAGCTCAGTGATCATCATCCAGCTTAGCCAAATTGATGAGCTCCAGATTCCGTGATAAACCATGCCTTCAAAAATAATTAATAGATAGGTAGATACATATGCCAATGGATAGATAAAGAGATAAATAAATAGATTAGATTGATATATTAGGTAGACAATAGATAGATAGACAGACAAGTAGATAGATCATAGATAGATACATAGATACGTAGATAGATAGATAGATAGATAGATAGATAGATAGATAATAGATGGGTAGAGAGATTAGATAGATAGATAGATAGATAGATAGATAGATAGATAGATAGATAGATAGACAGTAGATGGATAGATAATAGGTAGATAGGTAGATAGACAGACAGACAGGTAGATAGACAATAGATGGATTGATAGATAGACAATAGACAGATAGATAGATAGATAGATAGATAGGGTAGAGGATGGTTGAGAGAGACCCAGTGTTGACTTCTGACATCAACATGCCCACGCACACATGTATATACATAGACACAGACATATATAATTTATACACCACACACACAAAATTAATTGATCAAGTAACATGCTTTCTTTATCCACACATTGGTCCAAGCTCTTATACGTGTTCCCATCTCATCCCCGGGACTGCTCTGTGAGATGATTGTCCCCATCCTGCTGGTGAGGAACTGATAGCCAGAGAGGTTGAAATACGGCAACCATGTCACACAGCTGACCTGGTGGGTGACAGAGATGGCCTTAAAGTTAGCACCAAATAATCCTTCCGTCCGGCCTTTTTCAAATCGTAGAACCAGACCAGGGCTGTTGCTGCCTGTCTAGTCTATGTCTCAGACTCTTGAACCTGTCTTATGGCGAGCTGAGAACCAGTTTTGTATGAAACATTTTAAATCTGTAGGAATCGAGAAGGTTGCCCCGCTATACATGGCCACACTTGTTGTTCGGCAGAGTTCATTTCCTGGGGACCTGTAAGGAATTTACCCAATGACTCAGCTTTCTTGGAGTTTAAATATATATATGTATGTGTATATGATGTATATGTATATGATGTATATGTATATCCAAGTTCATTCTCAAAACTAGTTAAAATGCTTTTTACTAATTGTGTTGGAAACTAAAAACTAACTCACCATAGATTACAGCACTTCCCAAGAGAAAACTAGAAGTGAATTTTAGAGACTCTGCCAAGTCTCTATGAATAATAATATGCAAGTATATTGAGAAATTTATCCCAAGAAGCCTGCAGGGATTGTATCTGCCTATCCTCCCCTGTCTGCTGTGTCTACCTCCTCTGCCACTGTCTGGTGTGTTCCAGGACTGGAGCGATCCACATCGGAGATCGAATCCTAGCCATCAATAGCAGCAGCTTGAAGGGGAAGCCTCTGAGTGAAGCCATCCACTTGCTACAGATGGCGGGAGAGACTGTCACCCTGAAAATTAAGAAACAGACAGATGGTGAGTGGAGCAAGAGTCCCGAATAAGGATTTCCAGCATGTGTCTCCTTCCCTAAAAGAATGTGCAAGCGTTTTTATGCGTTTCTAGGGAAATGGCTCTCGAGCCACTGTATCCGAGGATTTTTTTTCTTGTGAATTTGCACTGATGTATTCCCTGTTTCCCTGTCTGTAAAGCCCAATCGGCATCAAGTCCCAAGAAGTTTCCCATCCCCGGCCACTCGAGTGACCTAGGAGATGGTGAGGAGGACTCCTCCCCAATACAGAAACCTGGCAAGCTCTCCGACGTGTACCCCTCCACAGTGCCCAGCGTGGACAGTGCTGTGGAGTCCTGGGATGGGTCTGGAATAGATGCCAGCTATGGGAGTCAAGGTATGGAAGAGTCTGTTTCATGTGCAGAATGTCTTCTCATAACCCATGCTGACTCAATGTGTCTATGGTGAACAACCTGCGCCTTTCTACCTGCCAGCCTAGAATTCTCTCCTTGTAAGCTATGGGTATTTATCGCACACTGATAGGGATACTGATGGCCACGTGTTCAATGCAGAAAGCTTAGAGAGATATGAAACAGACTCTACAGAAAAGCAGTTTAATAGAGAGCATAGTGTTGTATTTCTTAGCAAGCATTCCACAAAGATGGGTGGGGGTGGTCTGAAGTGTTAACAAGAGAGTCACCCGTGACTGGTGTGACCCCAATGATTCTTAGGCATGCCCAGCTTGAATAAAAACTGAAGTTTTTCTTAACACTCAGTGTTAAGGAGGTATAGTTGTGTGGTATGTGAAGGTGTGTCATAGATGTGTCTTCTCAGACATGGTGCTGACATCCATCACACAAACAGCTTGGAGAGCAGGTTTGAATGAGGGTAACTTGGTAACTTAGTGTCTTAGTGTTTTACTGCTGTGAACAGAAACCAGGACCAAGGCAACTCTTATACAAGACAACATTGAATTGTGGCTGGCTTACAGACTCAGAGGTTCAGTCCATTATCATCAAGGTGGGAGCATGGCAGCATCCAGGCAGGCATGGTGCAGGAGGAGCTGAGAGTCCTACATCTTCATCTGAAGGCTGCTAGTGGAAGACTGACTTCCAAGCAGCTAGGATGAGGGTCTTAAGCCCATGCCCACAGTGACTCACCTACTCCAACAAGGTCACGCCTACTCCAACAAGGCCACACCTCCTTATAGTGCCATTCCCTGGACCAAGCATAGACAAACCATCACACTTAGTTAACTACCCATTAGGAGAGTGCACATCCAGCTTCCTCTCATCCTGGTTTTCGTATTTCTTTTTGCTCACCCTGCCTCTGTTGTGTCACGCTCTGTCAAGTCCTAGACAGGTGGGGAAAAATCAAAAGGACATATTATATCAACTTCTCAAGCTATTACATTGTCATGATGTCCGGAATTTGACGGAGAAATATGTTAAAGGTCTTGAGTAGAGGTAAAGATTGATTACGCTGTTTGTGCTTGATTGTGTGTTGGGTGTGTGCCCATAGATGCAGGAGACCAGAGTGTCAGATCTCCAGGAGCTAGCGTAACAGGCCGTTGTGAGCCACATGATGAGAGTGCTAGGAATTGAACCCAGGTCGTCTACTGAGCCACCTCTCTAGCCCCCACCACACGTATAACTCAGCCCTTCAGTTTCTGTCAGTTCTTCCAAGTCGTAACACCACGTGACAAGTTAGCCACGCCACCCAATGTCACATTTTCATTCCCTGAAAATTACTGGGTGTAAGGGATGTCAGATAAAGGACCCTACTCAAGATTCATCAAAGTAAATGAGGTTTATTTATTAAGGGGTGTGTTAGTTTATTTTTTACAAATGGGGAAACATTTCTACATAAATTTTTGTAAGAAAACTATTGATATTGAGTCCCACCCCATAAAACTCAACTACTCCAGCCTTTTGCACCCTAAGACTGGGACCGTGATTGTCATATGAAATATATGGTCTGACCCTTCCTTAGTAAAAAGGTGAAAAACTGCTTACGAAGCATTTCAAAAACTTGAATAGCAGACATAATGATACTAAATGTAACATTGACACATTAAAGTCTTTATAAGGCTGAAGACACTAGAGACAGAGATAATGATGACCTGGCAGAGATAGAACAGTTTGGAGATACAATAACGCCCCATATAGGTAGACAGCTTAAGAGATTACTAAACAACTGTTTGTGTTCACATGACCATTCTCATATGACTCCCATAAGGAAGCCATAAGTTGAAGCTTACTGCTGGCCATGGGTGAAGGTGTGAGGGAAAGATCCAGAAGCCAGCTAGTCTGACATCCAGTGTGGTCCTTGGGGCTGTGTCGAGCATTGCTGAGTGCGGGCATGTTGTGTGTCCTTGAACAGCGAGCTAACAGGCTCTCTCTCTCTCTGCCCTCCCTCCCTTTCTGTCATCTCTGACAGCTCAGAAGTCCTGACTGTGTGGAGTTGAAATCTGCCCTGCCCTTGGCTTCTGTCTATTATTCCTAGCTCCGCCCTCAAGGTGAATCAGAGCTGGCTCCAGCAGATGCTGGGAGACATTATTGCTTCTCTTTTTAAGTCTTTCCTTCTTCAATCAAAATAGCCTGATCCCTTCGCCTGCCCCCCCCCCAACCTATTTTTGGGCCTCTTCATTGGCACATGGCTCACTCTTCTCAATATGTCCAAGTTTAACTCTTTGCTTGCTCGAGGACAGCACTCAGAAAGCCGTCCTCAGCCGCCTGGTGGCTCAGAGAGCAGCAAGCCCGCCCTGTCTTCATGGAGACAGCAGTTCCATGAAGCCAGGGCCACCCACTCCAGCAAAGGGGTTTAGACTGCACGTTATATTCAGTATTTGTCTTGAGTTTGTTGTTCATCAAGGACTTTGAATCTCGGTTTCTTCTCCTTTCTTATGGCATTCAATAAAAACCAGGTGTATTTAGCTTGTGACTGTTTTGTCATTGACCTTTTACAAGTAAAGCACGAAAGCAGTTATTTTCCTCTTACTAGTAATTGTCATGTTCTGACATGTAGCTTGTCTTTCCAACGTGTCCCTCCATCCTCTCATGAGACTCTGTTCTATCCCAGGAAGACCTCACACAGTCCCTGCCTCCTTTAAGCCTGTAGCTGCCCCAGTTTCACTGAAGCCCCGTGATGCAAAAACATCGATGACTTGAGTAACCACATTCGTTATTGTTCTCTGCTACGTCACTAAAATGTCCCACTTACTCACACGACAGATATTTAAGGCTCAGCATAATTCAACAGGACAAGGTCTCTATTCTGGTAGAAGGGCCCAACAGTTCACAAGTAAACAACCACCAACAACAATAAACATTGCTTAATGGGTAAGGAGATGGGATGGAATGACCAAAGACGGATGAGGAGACCAGGAAGGTGGACAGGAAGAGCTGTAGTGAGGGAACCTTGATTTTACTCAGTGGCTCAGAATACAGACTTCTCCTAGTCATCTCTGGGGTGACTGCCTCCTCTCCCATTCTCTGATGCTCCAAGCCGGTCTCTTTTATCCAGATCTGGGTCTTTGGACCCTTGGGTCTTAATTATTCCTTTTACTAACAGACAAAATCCTGATGGTTATACTTGGATATAGCAAGAGTCAATAGAAAAGGAGACAACAAATTGTCACTACCTGAACCCTCAGGGAAATTGGTGCTCTCTCAACTCAGGTAGCTACATTTCTGTCTGATTGTTTGAGGTCACTTTGCTATTTGTGTTTTCTCTCAAAGTAGACTTTTTTTTTTTTTACTGTTTTGTTTTGTTTTGTTTTTCAAGATAGAAAGTAGCCTTTTTTCATTCAGGTTTAAATACATTTGCATATAATTAACTAATCTCTAAAATAATTCTTTTATTTTTTTTTCAGTTTCTAAACACATTCCCAATATATATTCTTTAATGTATTTGTGTTTCTAATTCTTCCATGATTAGATTATTAGTGGTTTGGTTTAATTTTTTCCCAGAAGTTGTCTTTATTAATTATTTGCACTCTGGGTCTTTAACATAAAACATGGCCTTTGGCTCAACTGTCTTATTCAATCTCTTGGATCTTGTTCCTCTTCTGGCTTGACTTGGGTGAGCCGTCAACGTAGAGCCATCTTTCCTTGTAGTATTCGTACGAGCGGGACAAGTCAGTAACAGATGCGAACTCGTACAGTCAGAGCCCATCTCTTAGAAGACTTAGTTAAAGAATGCAAACCACTAGGCTGCACATGTGAGTTCACCCATTCTCCTGGGCTGGCATTTCCAATCTCCTTCTGTTTATGCTCAGTCCTCCACGTGTTCATATGTCATCTCTATAACATGTCCAGTTTCCCCTTAGTTCTGGCATCTCCTCTTTGATCTCTAGTTTTACAGAAACTAGATGACTTCGCCATGTATATTTTTTTAATTTTTTGATGTTCCATTTGGTCACCATCAGAACTTATTCCATGGAAGGCTTTTTTGTATTCAACTTTGTTTTCCTCTCTCCCTCCCTCTCTTTACCCCTCCCTCCGTCTCTTGTTTCCTCCCCCACTTCCTTCCTTTCCCCCAGCTATTCTTTGGATATAAACTTTGCATACAGCTTATTTCCATCCTTTAAAACTTGTCACTCATCACCACATTGAGTGAATTTTCCATAAGCCAGAAGTTTGCTCAGGCTCTGAGCGAGCTGCAAGTTCCCCTTGTATTCCAGGCTTGCTCCCTTTAGCTGCTCCACACTGGTAACAAGGGTGGGGGGTAGGTGGTGACCTTAAGGGCTTCCATAGCTGGTGGAGAGCAGAGACTGCAGATCTCACCAGGCAGAATTGGCTGCTCATCTGTTTTTGCCCTCTGTCAGTCCACCTGACATCCCCCTGGTGATTGACAGAGTCCAGGGTGTTTGCTGCCACCAGCGCTGTTCACTGCATCCTCAAGTTCTAACGCAACCATTGCTGCTTTGCCTGTGCTGTGGCCTTTGCCTTTGCTTTGGCTGAGTGAGTCTTTGCAAGTCTCTGGTCAAAGAAGTCTTCCCTCAACCACTTACTGAGACACACACACACACCACCTAATTCTCATGTGACTCTCACTGAATTTGACAATTTTCCTCATGTATTTTGGTTTGAGATTATGAACCTGTTAGAGCTGTATTGAAGATGGAGTTGTACTTGAGTATTTGTCCTCCCCTTCAGAGGCATTTCTGAAAGCGGGAATAGCTTTCCTGGCTCTGCCTTTTTTTTTTTTTAAGAAGCATCCATCCAGACCCATAAGACAGTTATTGACAAGAACAATTTCAAGTAACTGCACAAGCACATGATTTGCTTTTCCAATTCTTAAGAAAACAGTGTTTTTGAAAAACAAATCTGGCCCACCTTCTCATACTAAAACTGGCTTCTAAAATTACAAGTAACAGCAAGACGGGCAACCCCCAGTTATAGATTTAAGGAGGAAATTCCCAAAAAGCATTTTCAAAACATTGTATGTAGGAGCCAACATTGTTTTGTTTCCTTTCCCACATGAAGACTGGATGGAACTTAAAGGCTATTGTTGTGTTTTATTTAAAAAGAAGAAGAAGAAAAAGAGGAAGGAGGAGGAGGAGGAGACGGGGGAGGAGGAGGAGGAATATGTTTGGTAGAGTTGTGGTATGGTGCCTCCATGGGCCCATGCTGAGATACCCCTTCTCCTGAGGTATCAGCCACGATGGATATAGTATAGAATAGAGTTTATTTAGGGCCTTGGGAGGGGAGTTGAGGGAGTAGAGATAAGAGAAAGGGAGAGAGAGAGAGAGAGAGAGAGAGAGAGAGAGAGAGAGAGAGAGAGAGAGAAGAAGAAGAAGGAGGAGGAGGAGGAGGAGGAGGAGGAGGAAGAGGAGGAGGAGGAAGAGAAGGAGGAGGAGAGGAGGCTGGCCATGAACACATGGAAAGAGGGAAGAGGGGAATGGAGAGAAAGGGGAGAGAGGGAAGAGGGTAAGAGAATAAAAGACAAGAGAGAGAGAGGAGGGGGCAAACAGCTCCTTTTATAGTGAGTCAGGGACACCTGGCTGTTGCCAGGTAACCGTGGGGCGGAGCCTAGAGGGAATGCTCACCCCTATGAATAAGAAGAAAATATTAAAATGAAATGTGACTATGTTAGGGTGTCAGGACTTTATAAATAACTCAGAGTTACTATCCCCCAAAAATAAATAAAATCACCATGCCAAGGCGATCCAAGAGCGCTTACATTTGTGAAGCTTTATCTTCCACACCGCAAATAAATAAAATTAAACTGTGCTCATCAGAAAGAACCAAGACTGAATTCTAAACCCTCGTTATGGCATAAAAAATAAACCTCGATGTTAAACCCAAGACACAGAAGAAATGAAAAGGAGAGGGATACAGGTTTCCAGTTCTGAAGCAAAGCAGTGATTACATACATCATATTTTTTTTACAATTCCTTTTATTCAGATTTTCACTTAAAATGCACTTTGTGGACGCTGTGGAGATGCCTCCTTTGGTAGCATGCCTTCCACACTGGCATAAGGAGCCCGAGTTGGGCCCTTCACCTACATCACCCCAGCACTGGAAAGGATAAGACAGGGGGATTCCTAGGATTTGCTATCCAGCCAGTTACCAGTTAACAAGCTTCATGTTTGGTGAGAAGCCCTGCCTCAAAAAAAAAAAAAAAATGTGGAGAGCATTTGACAAAAACATCAGACATAAATTTCCGGCACACACAGACATGCACACTCATGTGCAAGCACACATACACACCCAACACACATACGCAAACACATGAGCTCATACAAAGTAGCTCCAAATATAGATGCATTTTAATTTCATGTACTTGCACAGCCGTGCAACAAAAACAAGGCTTAATTATATTCTCGAAGTTATTTTTCATACACATGAGCCACTACAAGAGTTTCAGTTTGACCCTCATTGTAAATGATTGGTCTTGAGAAGTTATGTTCTCACCTCTAAAAAACGGGCTTGCTTTTACCAGTCTAATTTTCTCCACTTTAAATCACGGTATTGACTGGCGTCTGCCTGTATCAGTTTGAGATTGAGTTGGGCTACTTTACTTATAAACGAAAACCAAAATGATTGCATTTAACCAAGGTGGGGATGTATTGTCTCACACTGTAACCCAGAGCCTGGCGGGGGCAGGTGGTACCTGAGAGACATCGGGGCCCACGCATCTTACGGTTCCTATGGATTAGCGTCTCTGCTGTCTTCCCATCACTACAGCCTTTACCACACAGCCTCTGTCAAGTCTGAAGCACCTCACCCACATTCTCACTTAACTCTTTCTCTGAGTGTCTAATGTCATAGTTCTGTCAGTGTTCTTTAGAAGAACCAAATATAGTCATAGATTCTTTAGAAAACAAAACAAAATGCTCAAATACTCTCTTCTTGGTCCTCTGATGTTCCAAGTTAAAGTCAAAGGCCTTCCATTTCCAACATAGCATCTTTTATACCTAGGCTTCTCTATAGCACACTTTATTCCTTTATGTCCCAGACTTTATTCTCTAATCAAGTTTTGGTCCCTCGTATAATACCTTGAAAATGATTATTGCTTTGCATATGTTAATCCAACCTGTGTGTGTGTCTGTGTATGTGTGTATATGTGTGTGCATGTGTATGTGTGTGTGTGTGATGTGCATGTGTATGTCTCTGTGTGTGCCCATGTGTGTGTATATGTGTGTGTGTGCATTTGTATGTCTGTGTATGTATGTATGTGAGTGTGTGTGCATGTGTATGTGTGCATGTATCTGTGTATGTGTGTGTGCATATGTGTGTGCATGTGTATGTATGTGTGTGTGCAGTGTATGTCTATGTATGTGTGCATGTGTATGTCTGTTTGTGTGTGTATGTGTGCATGTGTATGTCTGTGTGTGTGTATGTGTGTGTGATGTGCATTTGCACATCCATGCTTCTGCAAAGATAAGAGCACATGCTAGAGGAGCTACGTCTAATCTCCAGCCAGAATCAGGGAGCTTTTTCTCCGCTTACACCAAGGCATTCTAACAGTGACATGATTTCAGTTTTAAAGACATAGGCATATCAAAACTGCTATATAATTCCACAATGTTTAGGGATCTGGGCTCCTAAAATATTTCTGCTATATTTTGCTTAACACTTTTATCCTTTGGTGGTCACTACTTGGTCCAGTTACCAGTGGACCAGCTGTTTTGCTTGTATTTTTAACATCTGGAACTAGAGTTGTAAGGATCCTTCAAAGAAGTCTCTTGGCCATGGGGTGGTCAGGACATCTCATAGATTAAACCTAGCTTACCGCACAGCCCAGCAGCAGTGGGAGAGAAGGAGCAGAGACAGCAGTGGATCCAGAGACTGTCCCAGCCTAGCCAGCCGGTTGACTGACCCTCCTCCTGCACAGGGGAACACATGTGGGTAGTCAGAGAAACCACAGTATCTCCCTGGGAGGAGAGAGAATGTGTTGATGGGTTTGGGGGTAGAGAATACTCCTATTACGACTATTTCTTTGCCCTTCCTCTTTCCAGCTTGGTCAACACTGTCTTCACAGCACTTAGCCCTAATGAATGTTGACATCCTAACCTCAAACTTTCATTTGGATGTCCTTGGCCACCTTTTAAGATGCAGGTTCTAGCCCCAAGTGGTGAAAATAGGGGTCCAGTGATGTTTGTTATGATGAATTCCTTAATTACAGTAAGACACACATCTGGTATTATGCTGTGTGTGTGTATGTTGGAGGAGGGGTTGTATGCACATCCTGAGGAAATGAACTAAGAAATGTGTGATAACTGGGTCTAAGCTATGGACTCAGACCTATACATATGCCCTTGATTTCTCAGTTGAACCCCAAAAGTATCCTGAAAGACTACATACTCCACCACATATCTGAAGTTACGGTCTAAACGTTTTCCTCAAAATACTTGCAAAGAATGTAATGTATACCTTGTTGTAAACATCCTTTAAATCCGTTACTGTCAAAAATCTTGGTGCTGTAGACTTCATCAAGGGTGACGTCTGTTACATAACCTGATTGTTCCGTAATCCCCCACTGCCCCTCCCTTCAAGCTGATAAGACTTAACCCCCTGTCTGAAAAGTCAGTCTCTGGTTTGCAATTCAGATAAACATAGCCATTCTCGACAGACAGGGGGTTAAGTCTTATCAGCTTGAAGGGAGGGGCAGTGGGG